TGCAGATAGCCTTGCTAGTGAACACAGGCCCCAATCCCTTAAGGTCTAATTTCACTTAGCCATGCTCTGAGGCCTTTATAAATGGTGGTACTTCTGCCAAGAATTCAATCTTCTAACTCTCCCTGTCTTTCCATGGCAAATCCCTATTTAGCCTTCAAGTGCCTTATTCTACATCCACATGGTTAACTCAGCTGCTTTTTCTGGGTTCCCACAGACAACTGGTTCTTCCCCATTTCAGCCCAACCCCTCTGCCCATGCCTTCCTACCACATCACTGTCTATTCTAAGCTGTCACTGTCTGGTAATGGATCTGTCTCCCCCTGAGAAGTGAACCTTCAGTGAGACAGGTCCATTGCTCTCTGGTCACATCATGTCACCTAGCACAGGACGGTTTCAGTGAACACTGGTCAAATGACTCTATTAAATGTGTTCAATGGCTTAGAGCTTGGAGGTGATACCGTGGGAAAGAGAATTTTCTGAGAGAATATTTAAATTTATCCAGTGGGATGTAACCAACCAATCTTGGGAACATTCTAGGATACACCTATGCCATGGTGGCTTTTCAATGTACTATGACTCTTGAAAACTAAGGGAAAAATAAATACTCTGGAAAAATCTGGAAATTATTAAGTTTTGAAAAAGAGAAATGGAACAGGGTCAGGGTATGTTTCAATCCAAACACAGACAAGCACAGGATTATATCAGATGTTCACATGTGTACAATATGGCCCTTGTGTCTGCATATGTACACTACATTAAACACAAAAACATCCACAAACTTATAAGTAGTCACTCATCATGCATGCATACTCACAAATGTGAATGTGCCATCAGATACCAGGTTGGACACAAAATACACAGGGTAGACACCCCGCAATGCACATATCCCAAAGCACGTGTATACTTACAGTGCACACATACAGAGAATGGTATGCATTTTGGCACACTGACATGGACATTCACACAGATGTCCAAGTGTATACATAAGTTGGATACCCACTTATTATGCACAAACACACACCCCACAGAAACTGGTGCACACATAAATCACTCTATTAACATGGATACACTGAAACATATATTTACACAGAAACCCTAAGCATGTATCCAGAAAGACACACAGAGAAAGATATATAAATAAGGGTAAATATTTTTTGGTGTCTTATATTTATTTACTTATTTTTAATTGGCATATATTAAATTATGCATAGTAAGGGGTTTTATCATGACATTTCCATACATATATAATGTACTTTGACCATTTTCATCCCTTCTACTATTCTTATTTTTTTAAATATTAGCATAAATTAATTGTACAAGAGAGTTTCAATGTGATATTTCTATTCATGCATATAATGTACTTTAATACAGTTCATTCCATCTATATTATCCTTTCTCAACCCCTCTCACTTTTCCTACCTCCTTTTAAATAGTTTTTAGTGGGTTTCACTATGATATTTTCATATATATAATGTACTTCTGTCATATCCACCCTTCTTTATTACTTTTTCTTATCCACCCCCCTTCCCTTTCCCTTTTCATTTCCCTTCCACTTCCCTAGGGGTCCCCCTTTTACTTTGGATGACCTTGGTTGTTTTGTTTTGTTTCTTCATAGCTTCCACAAACAAGAGAGAAAACATGTTATACTTGCCTTTGTGGAACTGGTTTATTTCACTTAAAGAGGTGATCTCCAGTTCCACCCATTTTCCAGCAAATGACATAATTTTATTCTTTTTAAGGGATGAGTAAAAAAATCTTCATTGTAAGGATAAACATGACAGAGAACCCACTGATCAAAATGATACCAACACACAGATATCTGAAAGCACAGAGGAAGCTTGACAAGAAGTCCCACTTGGAGGGAGAGGGAAAGAAAAAGATGAACAGAAAGTCAGAGTGACTAGGGGAGACAGATGGGCAAAGTCCTGTGCAGGCTTCAGGACCACTTGAACAATCTGAGCATGGAATGTGCCTAACCAACCAGTAACCCTCCAAGATGTCACCTAGAAGATCTGTATCCTATTCGTAGCTCCAGGGGGATATTGCTTCAAGATGCTTAGGAAGTGATGGGGAGGGAAGTCCCCCAAACTCTCTTCCTTCCCCCTTTTCCAAAGGAAAAGCTTCGGGAAACTTCAGACCAGAGAATATAAAAGTCAGATTAGGATTTAAAGTAACTCTAACCAATCTCTTTTACCCCATAGGTTAATAAAGTCTAGTGACAGTAAATGTATAAAATAGTTAATGCATTTTGAGCAAGTGCTTTTTATTAAACATGCATTAACTCATATACTCTTTACCAAAACAATGTAAAAGAAAGATGGTGGTGGTGGCCCCATAAGACTCAGGTAGTGAACTCACTTCTTCAAGGTCATACCACAAAGAAGGAATAAGATTAGGATTCCAATCCATGCCTTAGCTTTACCCTTAATCATTTTTCCACAAACGGAAACTGAGGTCCATCAGGGGGAATGAACTTTTCTGAGTCCACCACTAGCTCATTCTGGAAGCCTGTCCCAAGATACTGCCACTGGCACATGTCTCTCCCACATGAGTCCAGACATCGATCCCTCACTTCACGTTCCAGGGAAATCAATAAGAGCAAATACACGTGACCTCTATCTCTCCCCAAGTTCTTTTCCTATTCTGACTCTCCCTCCCACCCTCTTCCTGGAGGGCTCATGTGAGCCCATCTGAACTCTTAGGGCCCTCCTGATGAGAAAGAAAGTCATTGAGAAGCAAATTCTCCAAATTACTCCCTCCCTCTTATTCAAGAAAAAAAACAGGGGAGAGGAGAGGCCCAGGCCAGGGGCCAGCCCAGGTGCAAGCTGGTAATCAGGATTAAGAGCACTGATACCTGCCAAGCTTGTGCTAATCCTCTTCCCCACCTCTTCCCCCTCCAAAATCAACAAACAAATTCCTTCTTTGCTTTGTTCTCCACACTTTATTCCCCTCATACAGGTCACAGAGTCCAGCAGCCTAGAATAAGGTAAGCAAAATGTCTGTCCAGGGAATGCCAACCTCACCCACCTCCACTTGTCCAAAGTTCTGAGGTAGGTTACAACCTTGGATGTTGTAACCATCAAAGCCTGTGCAGCATCCACCTGAGATCTCTGTCAGGGTCAACAGCTACCTAATGCCACAACCTGCTGGAATTAAACTCAGAGCCTATTTGGAGTCATCCTTGTACATTCCTCAAGGCAATCTCAATGATCACCTGCATCCATTCTCAGAGCCCTCTTAGCACCAGCGGTGGTTTTAATAAAGTTCTTTTGGTATCAAGATCAGTATCAACTTCTTTCCCTTCTTAGCACCCACTTGGGGACAATCTCAGTAAAAACCTGTCCCTCCCCCCGGGGCTACCTGATACTGATATCAGAATTGCCAGGGTAATACCTGTGCCCACTGTGGATGCCAATCTCAACACTCCCCTGATGCTAAATATGGTCTCCAGAAAAGGTTTGGCCAGGCAATGGAGGGAGAAAGAAAGAGTTCAAATACCAGCTCTCTCACAAACTACCTTGGTGACTTCAATGGGGTTGCTGATGAAGCAGCCCCATCATTACTTAGATTCAAAAGCTTGCTGGGAACATGCAAGGCTCTGAGTGCAAAACCTAATACTGCTAAAATATCATGCACACATAGACAGTATTTCCTTGGAACTTAAGGGAAAATTTCAATATGGGAAAGATAATAGGACCACTCATCTTATCTCAACTCTGTTCCCCACATTGGAATTTACCCAAATTTCTCCACTTATACTTCCCTCTGCCTGCTAACCCCACCCCCTAATAATGTAGGAATCACCTTTAAAGGAGACTTAACACACCCAAAATTTGACTTTCTTTTCCCAAATGCTCCCTTTCCTCTGGTGGAGAAACAAAAATCCAGAAAGGGGACACTGAGAACATAGAGTACAATAGACAGTGAACTTTGGCTTAAAAGCCCCTCATGTATGTGCTCCATGACCACCCTCAGGGTCTGTCCTTAGTAGAACTATGTGTAAAATAGGAAACATTAATAATAACAACAATACTAGAAATGATCCAATAAACCTAGAGAGCTTCCCTAAGAATCTGGATAGGACTCCAGTGGGTGCTTTTTGTAAATTAGAACCCCTGAGACAGTCAGGTCTTTTCTACCATATTGGTGGTTATTATTATTTCCTTAATGTGTCCAATCCCTCTGTCAACTGTGACCCTGAGATTCTGTCTCCAGTTATGTGACAAGTTCCACTGAAATAAGACTTTGGTCTTTTCCCCATTTCCCAGGAATATATAGGCAGTAAAGCCCTTGGCACCCAGCCTATAATCACTGTGATGCTTCTTTGAGGACTCTGGGCATCAAGAGAGAGCACAGGACTGCAGCCAAAGCAGGTCAAGACTTGGGCTCAAGTGCTGACTCGAGGATCCTGCTGAAATTTCCATGTACTTCTCCCAGAAACTCCATATCCTCAGCTCTGGGTTCTTCTCACACCAAGACCCTCAATCCATAACCCTGAAATATCCCCTTCTGATGCTTAAATCTATATCCTCCCTCATTGAAAGACTCCCAAATCCACAGCCTCATGTCCAGTCTCATCTGAATGAATTCCAGACCTTAGGATTTGCCTATCCTGAAACCCAAATATCCATACCTTTGGGGTCCCACTTCACTCTTAAAACCCACCCCCAAAGCTAAGGAATTCTGCTATGTAAATATTCCAAAGGTTCTAGAGTTTACTGTTCCCATCTGTCCTCAACCCACAGCCTTGGGGTACTTCCTTCTCAGGTGCCACAAATTCAGTCTGGAGACGTAACTCCCTGTTAATCTCCCCTGAGGTCCTTCTCCCCATTGCTTGCTTGCTGGCTGTGTCCCAAACTAGGCGGGGTATATTGTGTATATGTGTGGGGGGGTAGTCTGGAAGTGAAATGAGACAATTATATAATCAAGACCAAAGGCCAACCTTCTATCCAGGGAGTATAAAGGCAAACCATCTCAGGCATCACTACTATCCAGTCACCCTCACTGCCACCATGCTGGCTTCAGGGTTGCTTCTCATGGCTGTGCTGGCCTGCCTGACTGTCATGGTGTTGATGTCTGTCTGGCGGCAGAGGAAGCTCCAGGGGCAGCTACCTCCTGGACCCACCCCATTGCCTTTCATCGGGAACTACCTGCAGCTCAACACAGAACAGATGTACAACTCCCTCATGAAGGTATGAATGGGCAGGGAGATGAGTGGAATGAGGTGGTGTGGGGACTGCCTGGTTTAGCTGGAGCTTTGTGGCTGGGGATTGACCATGATGACCCAGAGTCTTAGATAGGGGAGTGTTGAGGGTATGGAAGTCCGTTTCTAGGTAGGAAAGACCAAGTTTTGGGATATTCAGCCTGTTGACTGTCAGAACTTGGGAGAAATGCATCCTAGTACCTAACATCAGGATACTGATCAGTGCAGGGACTAACCACTCTCACCCATCTCCATCAGATCAGAGAGCACTACGGCCCCGTGTTCACCATCCACCTGGGGCCTCGCCGGGTAGTCGTACTGTGTGGACAGGATGCAGTAAAGGAGGCTCTGGTGGATCAAGCAGAGGAATTCAGTGGGAGAGGCGAGCAGGCCACCTTTGATTGGCTCTTCAAAGGCTATGGTGAGGGGTACACCAAGTGGGAAATGTGATAGCTTCAATTTCTCCAGTCTTCTCCCTGACTTTTCCTCCCCTCAAGATTGTACAGAGCCCTTTGGTTGTCTCTCCACATTCCTGTTCATTGTTGCTTTTCCCTATTGTCTCAGACATTCTGTGTCTCAATTTCTCCCTGCCTTTCTCTGTCCCTGTGTTCATTATTTATCTCTGGATGTCTCTTCTTTCCTGGATCCTTCAACCTCTTACAGCCTGTTCAGATTCCTCTACTGGAATTCCTACTTCTCTAACTTTATCTGAAGCTTTTTCTTTTTGTCACCCATGCCTTTCCTTTATATTCTCTCTCATTTTCTCTCTCTCTCTCTCTCTCTCTCTCTCTCTCTCTCTCTCTCTCTCTCTCTCTCTTCCTCCTCCTCCTCCTTCTTCCTTCTTCAGAATCTCACACAATATCAGCTTCCCAGTCTTCATGTCCTTAGACCCTCTCCCCTCTCTGCCTTTCTCCTTATTCTCTCTACTGAAGTTCAGTTTAAAATTCTTCACTGTTTTCGTATCCACCCTAGGTCACTTCTCTTCTTGCTACTCCTCTCTCCCCTTTCCTCCTTTCTTCCATCCCTCAATTGAAGTGTTTATGCATCTCTTCTCCTGGTGTGTCTTCCCTCTCTGTCTCTCTTCTGGTCTTCTAACTTGGCTCTGAATCTGTGTTTACCTTTCTAGCGCTGCAGCTGAAGTAGGGCTCCTGCTCTGTGCCCATCTCTCTCTCTCTCTGTGCAGCCCACACTCCTAACAGGAGCTTGCCAGGGGTGGCCTATGGGCCCTATCCCCTCCTCTCTGACCCTCTCCTGGCCCTGGGCTTACCTTCTCAGGCGTAGCCTTTAGCAACGGGGAGCGGGCCAAACAACTCCGGCGCTTCTCTATCACCACGCTGCGGGACTTCGGAGTTGGCAAACGTGGCATCGAGGAGCGCATCAAAGAGGAGGCAGACTTCCTCATCCAGGCCTTCCGAGACACCCAAGGTGAGTTGGGAGAGGAAAACAGATCGCTGAAGAGCTGCACATTGTGTCCCGGGATGGAGACAAGGTTGGGTAAGTCTCAGATCTGGTGCTGGGTGTTTGGCTTATCACCGCGATGCCCTTCTTGAATTCTCAGACTGGCATCAGTCCTCCCAGTAGACCCTTTCTTTCCCAATTCCAATCCTTCTTTGTTCCCTCCACCCCTGCAGGTGCCTTGATAGATCCCACCTTCTTTCTGAGCCGAACAGTCTCCAATGTCATCAGCTCCATCGTCTTCGGAGACCGCTTTAACTATGAGGACAAAGAGTTCCTGTCACTGCTGCGCATGATGCTGGGAAGCTTCCAGTTCACAGCTACCTCTACTGGTCAGGTAACCAGCTGCCAGTGTTGCACTACCACACCCCTACCCCAAGTGCTAACTTACTCCCACAGGACAATAGGTGTCCCAAACTGCCATCCTCCTCCAGACAAGGTCCCCCTGAAACCAGCCCTCCCCCTTATATACCTGAACATTTGCGCCAGAACCCAGGGCAAGTGTTCTATGGCCAGGGACACCTGGTACTTCAACAAATGGCCGTAAATGTAGATCCTGCAGGCAAGATACATGCAGTCAAATCGCTCAGCTGTAGATGCTACCATCTAAACCTACTTTAATAACGTCTGACAGATATTCTCTACTCAATCCTTCTGAATATCTTAACAGCTGGACAAGTGACTACCTTGGCTCTCTACTGAGTAGCTGAATGTCTGGTGCTGTAAAATCCAGCTCACCAAAATAATTTGACCTCTACAAAGGTGCTCCAAAACAGCCTACGGAAATATCTAGACAAGTGCCTCTTATTCAGCCCACTCAATACCTAAACACCTGCACAGGGTGCACAACCAAGATTCCAAACATAAATATCTGGACAATATTTGCCAAACACCCAGCCAAGCTCCCTCAACGTAGATCACTCACACCTAAAGAGGCCCCTCTGTCTAGCCATTTGAATACCTAAATGGGTGAAGTTAACTTCTCATTACTTTGAATGCCTCAAATCATGTTAGAAGATCTCGATCCAAATCCTATATGAACAGCTGTCTCCAGCTGAGGGCATTTGAACGCCTAAACACCTATTTAGATTACCTGCCCTCTGCCCCCCACACCACACACACATCTAAAAAGCTCAACAATTAATGTCTTTCAACCAACCTCACCCAAATATCTGAAACCTGCATGTGTGCCCCAATCCATCTCTCTTAAATTTTTGGATAATGGTTCTTACACTTAAGCCATTTGAAAACTTGGATATGTGTTACCATCCAACCCCATCTGAACACCTAAGCACCTGAACAGATGCTTGGAGTTCAGTGCCTTCCTTGCCTTGAGATAGGACCCATTCCTCGGTTTTTATTCACTGACTGCTGAACAGGACCTCTTTCTTTCTTTCTTTCTTTCTTTCTTTTTCTTTCTTTCTTCTTTCTTTCTTCTTTCTTCTTCTTTCTTTCTTCCTTCCTTTCCTTCTTCCTTCCTTCCTTCCTTCCTTCTTTCATGGATTGAACCCAGGGCCTTATACATGCCAGGCAAGTACTTTGTCACTTGAACCCACACCCCTGTCCTTTTATTTCATTTTATTTTATTTTACTTAATTATTTTTGAGACAGGGTCTCACTACTTTTGCCTGGGTTGGCCTCAAACTTGAGATCCTTCTGCTTCCACCTCTGCAGTAGCTGAGATTATAGACGTGTACCACCACATCTGGTCACAGCTATATTTTCTTTGCTTCCTCTCTATGCAACCCCCAGCTCTATGAGATGTTCTATTCAGTGATGAAACACCTGCCAGGACCACAGCAACAGGCCTTTAAGGAGCTGCAGGGGCTGGAGGACTTCATAGCCAAAAAGGTGGAGCAGAACCAGCGCACCTTGGATCCCAATTCCCCTCGTGACTTCATTGACTCCTTTCTCATCCGCATGCAGGAGGTGCAAACAGCAGTGTGGGGGGGTAGGGGGTGAGGAGGGTTCAAAGCCAGGCAGAGGGAAATCAGGCTGAGGGTGGTGGAGAACAGAGACCAATTAAACTGGCTCCTATTATAATAATGTTCATAGTTCCAATTATAATTACATCGTGTTCCATCTACTGAGCCTTTATTCGCAAGAGGACATGATAACAACACTACCTATGATAGGCACTAAATTTTGAGGGCTCTGTGGTATTCACTTATCACCCACAACAGCTCTTGAACAAGGTTCTGTTATGACCCTGACTTTACAAATGAGGAAGCCACAAACCAGAGAGTATGGGTGGTTTACCTGCACAGCAAGGAAGCTGTGTATCCTATCTCAAACCTGATCTCTCTATATCTTATGCTGGTGCTTTTAGTCACCATGCTTTCTAAACTTTCCTATCATCTTATCATATACACCTGTGTGGACAAGTTATATAGTTTTACTATGTGATCTTGGAGGGACAGACAGACAAGATCCTGTCCTGTCTGTATGTCAGTCTCCCATATGTATAGAAAGGACATGAGACTTTATGTAATCTGAAATTCAAAGGATCAAAGAAGAGGATTTCTCCACAGGAATGTTCATGATTTCATGTTGAAGGAATAGGATACCATTGCTGCATCTGTCTCAGAAAAACTGTCTCTAACTCTCACTGACTCACTCCATCTTGACATATCTGTCCTTCTTACAGTCTTTCTCTATCCATCTCTTTCTAAATATTCCTACTATTTCAAAACTGACAACTAAGCTGATCTTAAAGATCAGATAGCCAGGCAAAGAATGTGAGAAGAGTATTTTGGGCAGAGACAGCAGCCTGGGCAAAAGTCTGGAAACTGGAGAGTCTGTCAAATATAGGATCCCTCTTCCTACCAAAGGTCTGGACCTAACAAAGATGGGTCCAAGGAAAAAGCCCAGAGGCATGAGGAGTGGGTAGGACTTGAAAGGCTTCTTTCCCTGCAGGAGAAGAAGAACCCCAATACAGAATTTTATATGAAGAATCTGGTGCTCACCACACTGAACCTCTTCTTTGCGGGCACAGAAACAGTTAGCACGACCCTGCGCTATGGTTTCCTACTGCTCATGAAGCACCCAGATGTGGAGGGTAAGGCTGGAGGGGACAGAAAAGTGGAGGTCACAAACCCTAAAGCCCCACCAAGCATACTGCAATGTCTTCACTATTCCTGGGAACCTCAGAAAGGCTCTGCTGTTCAGAAGTAGGGGATATTCAGCTGATAGGCACCAGTGAGGTCTCACCAGCTGTTAAAATATTGGCAGTGCATGAACTGATTGGTAAATTGGTAAATTGTTTATCTAAACAACAGACAGCCTGCTCCCCCAGGCCATCCCTTAAGACTCCTTGCTTGTAACTCCCGTATAACTCTGGCATCGCAAGGTCAACAGGATCCTGCTCCAACATGCATAATCTCAAAAGGATGTTGGAATGTTCTACAGGCATTCGTGTCCTGCATTCAGTTTTACGTTTTTGGAGCCCCTGGAGACCTAAACACATTCCCCTTCTTCCCCAGCCAAGGTCCATGAAGAGATTGACCAGGTGATTGGTAAGAACCGGCAGCCCAAGTTTGAGGACCGGGCCAAGATGCCCTACACCGAGGCTGTGATCCACGAGATCCAAAGATTTGGAGACATAATCCCCATGGGTCTGGCTCGCAGGGTCACCAAGGACACCAAGTTTCGGGACTTCTTCCTCCCCAAGGTACTGCTGTGCCCAATCTAGAGGGACCTGAAACACACTCCTGGGACCCTAGTACCCCGTCTGCATTAGAAATTGTCCAACCTCCTGCTTCACTTTCTTAATCGAAGACTTCCTAAACCAGCATTGTCCTTCTTTGCCATTCAAAGACTCCTGCATTGTGGGTTTCCTCCAGACTTTTTGCATCAGGGGGATTCAACCCCATTTCTCTTAATCTTCCTATCTCAAGATTTATAAATCTCATTTACCTAGACCTTCCGCCTTTGGGACAGGAATCTCATATCTTCCATATATCCTGCCTAGGGAAGTCCATGAAACCCACGCCTCCCAAACTTCCTGTCTCAGATCACACATACCTCCAAGTTCCCCCAACCTCCTGCCTCAGAAGACACATTCCCAGTGTCACTCAAACACCCTGTCACAGAGAACATGACCTCCTCAGATCTCCCAAATGTCTCAGGGACATTGACCTCATTTTCACTAAATCTCTTCTCTCAGAGCACCCCAACTCCCATGACTCCACTTTTCCTTCACCTGGGACACCCTAACTCTCCCTTCCAAGTCCTGTGAGTTTTCAGCACACTAATCCCTCAACCTGTCATTATCAACCTCCCTTCTTCCTCTTTGCCAGGGCACTGAAGTGTTCCCTATGCTGGGCTCTGTGCTGAAAGACCCTAAGTACTTCTCTAACCCCCGAGATTTCAACCCTCAGCACTTCCTGGATGACAAAGGGCAGTTTAAGAAGAGTGAAGCTTTTGTGCCCTTTTCCATCGGTAAGTGACCACTGTTTGCTGCCAGGCCTCTGCATTCAACAAACAGGGCAGCTCATCCTAGCTCCCCTCTGTAAGGTAACATCCTAATACCTTTCTTAGGAGCTGAGGCAGGGGAAATGCCTACCTGGTCAGACCCTGTTTCAAAAAAAAAAAAAGAGAGAGAGACTATAGCACAGCAGCCACATTTGAGAGTGTATTTGGGCGAAGGGCCTCTAGACTCTCCGTTGCCACAGCCTGGCATGTATCACCTGCCTCATGTACAAGGGAAACTGAGGCTCACTGACGATTAGAGCCTTCCCTGAAGGTCTTTCAGGTCACAATACTGCAGCCTCTTCTTTCTTGGAGAATGCAGATGGAGGCTCAGTATTTGGGGAAAGGCAGCAGTGAAAATTGGTTTCACCTCTTTCCCTCCCTTCTGTCCTTGTCAGGAAAGCGGTACTGTTTTGGAGAAAGCCTGGCTAGAATGGAGCTCTTTCTCTTCCTCACCAACATCATGCAGCACTTCCGCTTCAAGTCCCCGCAGGCACCCAGGGACATCAATGTGTCCCCCAAACATGTGGGCTTTGCCACAATCCCACCAAACTACACCATGAGCTTCCTGCCCCGCTGAGCCAGGGCTGTACCAGGGGAGAGACAGGGGGAGGGGCAAAGGGAAAGGGAGGGATTGGGGTTAGTGGGAGGGGTGCAGCTTTGGGGAAAGGCAAAAAATTAGAGGCAAGATGGGCCAGATGAATAAGACAGGAAGAAGAACCCAGACTGCTGACCTTGCTGGAGATAAACACTCAAACTTGGAATGAGAGGAAGGGAAACCTTACCCTATGCTGTGAATAGTAATAGTAATAAACAACTGTTTTTTATTGAACAAGCATTCTCTGTCAGCTCCATGCTAAAAGTGTCCCATGATCTCACTTAATTCTCACGAATCCATGTGGGACCTCTGTTTATGCCCATTTCACAAAGTGAGAGATATGCTGAGGCTTAGAAACTTTAAGTTGCTGTCAAACATCTCACAGAACCTCAGTGCCCAGCAAGTTTTCTTTCTTTATTTATTTCATTTCTTAGCAACTTTTTGTTCGTTCACAGATCCAGTATTTACAAGAACCAGGTGAAGTGGAAGGGTGGGGGAGTGAGAGGCAGTGGTCACGCTTTGCTCAGCCCAGACAGGTGGCTGGCATGCCTGCCAGCCCCACCAATAAGTATGTACAGAAAAGGGGGCTGCCAAGTATAGCCACAGGGCTATACTTGGGACCTGAGCTCATGGCAGTGTGAGCTTGTTAACCCTTGGCATTGAGCCAAGGACCTCCCACTAGTTGTCCTGCTCCCACTGTCCTCCACCCTGAGTGCCTTGTAAAAGCTGAGGAAGCTGACACAGCAGGGAGAGTTGAATGATGCCAGCTTCCCATAAGCAGTTCTGTCTCTGCTATTCTTAAGGGGAAGGAGATATGGTAATACTGAGAGGCTGGGTGAGGCTCTTCTGAGCCCCAGGTTCCAGGGACAAAGACCAGGAGCCCAAAGTAGGCCACAACACTGAAAGCAAAGAGCCACCCAGCAAGTTCTTGAACACAGATCTGTGCCCACAGTTCTTGGGAAGCTCCTAAAAATGTCACCACTCCCCAGATAAAACAAGAACTTAGTACATTATCAGAAACACTGAACAACCTGTCCAGAGCTTTTTTCCAGAGCCCTGGCAGACAGCTGACAGGGCCTTACCACACACCATTCCACACTGTGACCTACTTATGGACCAAGTGATCACCAGGGCATCACCAGCTGTGCTCCCCATCAGGTGAGGCCACTTTATCTGACTGAGAGTCGGTTGGAGAACTGGAATCAGGCCTCTTAATGATGTGTGTGAGGGAGAAGTAACAGCAAAAGTGCAATACTTGAAAGAAGCAGTTGATAAATTCAATTTCTCTAAAATTTAAAACTTCTGCTCAGTGGAAGAAGATAACAGTTATAGGCTGTGGTTAAAATATTAGTAATTCTAGGCAAATATTGGATACAGGACTTGTGTCTGAAATATACAAAGAATTCATAAAACTCAATAAGGAATAAAATATTCTGATCAAAAAGGGAAAAGGGAAAAACTAGGTATCTAACCAAAGAGGATATTTCCATAGCAAATGAACTCATGAAAAGATGCCCAATATCATGTCATTAGGAAGCTGCAAATTAAAACAAGGTACCGCTATGTACCTGTTAGAATGGCTAGAGTCAAAAGCCCTGACAACACCAAATACAGCGTGGAGAGGAAGCTCCAGGAACTTCCTTTCATTGCTAGCAGGAAAGCAAATCGGTACAACCACTTTGTAAGGCAGATTAATGGTTTCTTCAAAGCTAAGCATATTCTAGTCATATAGTCTAGCAAGTATGTTCTTTTTTATTTTGTAATTTTCTTTTTATTAGTGCACATTCATTGTACAAAGGAGTTTCATTATGATATTTCCATACATGCATATAATGTGCTCTGATAAAATATATCCTCGCTAAGGTAAAAAAATGTTAGAGAATGAACATAATATAATGTACTGGGTGTACTATAAGTTGTTGAATATTAGGGGAGCATGGTGGCAAAGAATGAGTAAGTAACAGGGAGAGGGGCTTAACTTGATTAAAGCATAGTATATACAGACCTGAAGTACCAAGGAGAGACCCTCTTGGACTATCAATATACACTTTAAAAAAATGAAGGGCAGGAGGGAAAAAGTAGTCTTTTCTAGGGGCAGGTACTAGTGGGAGGTGGGTAGGCTCAAGGAAAGGGAAAATGAGGATGTATATGGTGGATGTATTTTGTATCCATATATGAAAATAGAGAAATGAAACCTGTTGAAATTGTTCTGGGAAGGGAGGAGGGTGAAGAGGGGGAATGATGGAGGAGGTAAATCTAACTAAGATATATTATAAGCACATATGTAATTATCACAATGTATCTCCCTGTACAATTATTACATGTTAATAAAAAAAAATCCTCTCTTTGCTCTCTCCTATTCCCCTTCACTCCCTTTTTATTATAATTTTTAGTGGGTTTCATGGTTCTATTTTTATACTTGCATATAAAGTACTCTGATCATATTTATTCCCTCATCACCCTCTTCTTTCATCCTCTCCCTCCTATTTGTCCCCCACAAACAGTTTCCCTTCTACATTCATGTCATTTTTAAGGGTCCAAATTCTGCATATGAGAGACAACATGTGATATTTGCCTTTCTGAATCATGCACTCTTGTTTAGGTGTATTTTATTTTGTATTTTAACTAATACATGAAATATAAAAATTGCACCATGTTATGTTTTGATACATGTAAACATTGTTTAATATTTAAATCAGGTTAGACATTTATCCCCTCAAAATTTATCATTTCTTTAGGGTGAAAATTCTTTAATTTCTTTCTTTAAGCATTTTGAAATGTACAGAACATAATTGTTAAATCTAGTCACCTACTGTGCTCCATAGTACACCAGAACTTCTTGTTCCTATCTAACCATAAGTTAATACCCATTAATCAGCTTTTCCCTCTCCCACTCTTTCCCCAACTCTCCTGAGCCTTTGGTAACCACCATTCTACTGCCAACCTTTATGAGATCAACTTTGTTAGATTGCACATATGAGTGAGGTCATGTGGCATTTGTCTTTCCATGCCTGGATTATCTCAATTAACGTAGTGATCACCAGTGCTATCCATGTTGCCTCAATTTTCAGGATTTCATTTTTGATGGAAAAATGAATGCTGTTCATCCATTAAAATTGAAATCCTGTAATTCATCAATTGGTGGACACCTAGGCTAATTCTATTGTGAACAGAGCTGACATAAACATGTGAATACAGACAACACCTTGACATCTCATTTCATTTCCTTTGTATATAGAGCCAGAAGTGAGATTTCTGGATAATATGGAGTTCTCATTTTATTTTGGGGGGAATCACCATACTATTTCCATAAAGTCTATACTACTTTAACTTTTCATCGATAGTGTGCAAGGGTTCCCTTTCCTTCATTCTATCTGGCAAACACATTTATGTTTAGTCTTTTTGATAATAGTAGTCCTACTGGAGTGAAGTGATTTCACACTGTGGTTTTGGTTTGCATTTCCTTGATGATTAATGATGGCTGAGCATTTTTTTCATGTGCCAGTTGGCAATTTGTATGTTTTATTTGAGAAGCATTTATTTAAATCTATTTTTCATTTTAATTAGGCTATATATTTTTTTCCTGTTGAGCTTTTGGAGTTGCTTATATATTCTGGATATCAACCCTTTATTAGATATATAGTTTGCAAATATTTTCCGCCATTCCTTAGGTTATCTCTGTAATTTTTTGATCATTTCCTTTGTTGTGTAGAAGTCTTTTAGTTTGATGCAATTCTGTTTGTCTGTTTTTGCTTTTTTTTCTTGTCTTTTGGGGTTTTTTCCAAAACACACTTACACATTCCAGAGCCTTGAAGTATTTCCTCTAATACCAATTCTCCTCACTTTATTCCATAAACTAGAAGTGGAAAAGAATTCTTTGTAGAATTCTTCTACAAAGTCAGTATTACCTTAATAATAAAACCAGGTAGGGACAAATGAGAAAGAAAAGTATAGGCCAGTATCCTGGATTAGCATGCACACAAAAATCTTCAACAAAATACTAGCAAAGAAAGACCAACTGCACATTAACCAGTTTATTAGCCAGGATCAAGTAGTATCTATCCGAGAGATTCAAGGATATCTCAATACATACAAATCAATTAACATGACACATCACATCAACAGAATGAAGGACAAAAACCATATGCATATTGATATGAAAATCAATATATAAAAATCAGTAGCATTGTTATGTATCAATAGTGAATTATCTATAATAGAAATGAAGAAAGCAATCCCATCTACAATAGCTACAAAATTTAAACACAGGAATAAATTTAGCCAAAGAGGTATAAGATATTTATGATACAAATTATAAAAGATTAATGAAAGAAATTGAAGTGGTCATTAAAATATGAGAAGACATCCCATGTTCATAGATTGAGAAAATCAGTATTCTTTAAATGTCCATAATACTCAAAGTGATTTACAGATTTAATGCAATCTCTATCAAAATACTAGCTGGGCACGGTGGCTCACATCTGTAATCCTAGGAGGCAGAGATCAGTAAGATCGCGGTTCGAAGCCAGCCCAGGCAAGTAGTTTGTGAGACTCTATCTCAAAAATACCCATCACAAAAAAGAGCTAGTGGAGTGGCTCAAGGTGAAGGCCCAGAGTTCAAGCTCCAGTACTGCAAATAATAATAATAATAGAATAATAGAACTAGAAAAAGCAATTCTAAAATGTATATGAAAACACACATATATATAGCATGTAGCTAAAGCAATCTTGAGCAAAAAGAAGAAAGAGGTTTTTCAGTACTTGACATACTACAAAACTGCAGTATTCACAACAACCTGGTGTTGGCATAAATACAGACACATAGATGGGATGAAATAGAATAGACAGCCTAGAAGTAAACCCATGCATCTATGGCCAACAGATTGTTTGACAAGGGTGCTAAACCACACATTAGAAAAGTAAGAGCATTTTCTGTAAATGGTGCTGGGAAAATTGGGTCACCACAAGCAGAAGAATGTGGCTAGACACCTAGTTCTCA